AAGACAGCCATCATCATACTCGCTGCCTTATGAAACTGAAGTTTTACAAAACTAATTTGTATTTTAATTTCGGATTTATGATGATAAATGATGAACAACTTTAACTAGGTTTGTGAATTTTTTATGGAGATATAGTTACATATATTTGGGCTAAGACGATGGGGAGTGGAGAAAACTGCGTAATGATGAGCTTAAAAATCTGTATTCCTTCCCCAGTATTGTCAGGGTGATTAAGTCGAGAATAATGAGATGGGCTGGGCATGTAGCGTGCATGGATGGGACAAGAGGTGTGCACCGGGTATTGTTCGGGAAGCCTGAAGGGAAGAGACCGCTGGGGAGACCTAGACGTAGATGGGAGGATAATCTCAGGCGGGATCTATGGGAGATAGGAGTTGAAGGAAACTGGATTTTGTTGGCCCAGGACAGGGTCCGGTGGAGGGCTTTGGTTAATTCGGTGATGAACCTTCGGGTTCGGTAAGCCATCTGGTTAGTTAGTCAGTTATAGTTACATAAACTATTTAAATCCGCCTATTACCTCATAACTTATTAAAAGGTACAGATACTGTAACGTGATGGTATCATACACCTCATTTCTTATAAAATGAATGCGAACTATATAAATAATAATAATACTTTATATACAAGGTTAGGACACTAACCGAAATAAATTGTGGCACTGATAATATCATCAATATTTCACTAAATTAGTTTGTGATTTAGTTCACTGTTTCACTGACTACTTCGATTCTGAAACAGTGACTGACACTTCAAAGATTGATCACAGCCATTGTGTTTATGGGATCCAGTTTTACAGATGAAAACCTTCAACAATTGGCAAATTACGTATATTTTCTGTGGTAAAACAATTGGCAGAGAGACAGCATCTGGCAGCATTTCTTACACTAAGAGTAGAAAAGTCTGTGATTTTCATGGCGTGCGCCTGGAAAACTCATTTTGACCTTGAAGTTATTAATAAAAGATCAAGAATTGAGATTACGTCGCCAGTAATAAAGATAAGATTATGATGATGTTGATTGGACACGCGCAATATCACAATGTAATATTTATCTTGTGAATAAATTGATAAGTATTCTTTAAGAAGTATCAAGTATATGATACAAAACTATAAAACATGCAAATAAATAACGATAATGATAATGATGATAATATGTGTTCTGTTTAGAGGTGAATAGATTTATAGATCAGGCCGATCACTACTAAAACCATGGAACAGTCTTTGGTGAAATCAACAGTCGCTCATGTTGTCGTGACACTCCTTGAATTTTATGGAACCCAAAGGTTAATTATCGTGTTCACAAAAGCTTTCCGCTGGATTCTATCCTGATCCAGTCGATTATAGTCCACATTTTCGAAGAATATTTTATATTAGGCTTATTATTTAGATTTATCTGCGTTTAATTATTAGCCAACCTATTTACTAGTAAGAGTTTTTTTTTAAAAAAATATTATACAAACATATATAAACTAGCCTGGGGATCACATGAGGCCTGCGGGCAGCAGCTTGCCTACCTCTGGAAAACAGTTATACATTAATGTGTTCAAGAGACGAGAGTTATGATTTCAGAGAAACATAACTGAAACAAATAAATATTTATTATCTCAGTCTATACACAAACGTATTTAAAATGTTGTTATTAAAATTTATATAACACTATAACATCTGTAGTATAAAAATATTACAATAAGTTATATTATGTTATATTATGGCGTTTTTATCGTAGTATGATGTTACATTTATTATGGCGCTTATTAATTATTGTACGACATGTTTCGATGTTTTAGACATCATCTTCAGGTTTATATCGTCGTTTTTTATCTTTTTAAAACTATTATATATTTCAATGCAATGCATTTATTGATTTATAGGTATATTTGTAGATTTTTCTGTCTTCAATAATGCTCTTAATGTCTGTAGTTAATATAACATAATATAACTTATTGTAATATTTTATACTACAGATGTTATAGTGTTATATAAATTTTAACAACAACATTTTAAATACGTTTGTGTATAGACTGAGATAATAAATATATATTCGATTTCAACACAAACATGACGCACTTAAGCTACAAATTACATAACTGAAACAGTGTGGTCACAACTGCTCAACATTCTAGGTCCACAAACACTGGCTTTGATGCTCGTGTTGCTAATACCAGAATTTGGGACAGCTTCCGAGCTGTCGCCTGCAGTGGCCTGCCCGTTGTCGAGAACTTCTTTGGTATCGCATCAGTTCGAATGCAGCTTCTCTTTCCAATGCAACCAGAATGACACGGTACCAGCTCTACTTCTGCGGTGCCCTAACGAAATGCACTTCAATGCAACTTCACCAACAGGGTGTGAACGTCCTGAAGAAGCTCTTTGCACTCCGTTTATAACAACAACAAGGCTGCCAACATCTGATAATCCCCCAGCCTGTCCATCTGAGAGTGCCCTCAACTACGTATATCTGCTTCGGAATCCAAAAAACTGTTCGCAGTTCTTTAGATGCTACCAAGGTGAAGCCCAGCTTTTCGAATGCCCTTCAAACTGGTATTTTGATCCGGTTTATGAGGTTTGCAAACAATCGAGGGAACCAGAATGTCCTGCTTCAAGCGATAAGTTAATTCTCCTGCCACACCCAACAAAATGTAACGTCTTTTATAAATGCAACTGGGGAACTCCAGTGCCGTTATACTGTCCAGATGGTTTGTTCTTCAATAATATAAATAAAGTGTGCGATCTGCAACAAAACGTTGACTGTAATCGTTGCCATATATAAAAACAGCGGGTAGATGTAGCCGATCTGGACTGATGCTTCTTAAACTGGAATTTTATTTAAAGGGGCCCAAAATAAATTACAAAATGCACTGGCAACAGCAACTGACCAGTGGGAAAGTACTCCCACCAAAAAGGTTCTTAAAACTTTAAATACGCGGGTTTCAAACAGATTATGATGAAAAGTAAACAAGATTTTAGACCTCTGTTTTCAATAATACTTTTAATTTATAATAACATGACTCAAATAAATATAAAAAATAGATGAACATAATAGCTGTTTGTGAAAATTACACGAACTTCAGAAACATTTTAAAATAATTTAAATTTTCAATTCTAAATTCAGCCAAGTACCAGGCCAGAAGTGAAGCCTCAACTGAGATTCGAGATTATGATAGCGTGCAGGCCCGGCAAATCACACAAGTCGGAAGGGGGGGGGGGCAGTAACGTACGAATATGTGTCGTCAGATACGTAAGTACGGTTTTATTTCAGCATTAGTAATGGTTTCGCATTCCTAGTTAAATGAACAGCTGCATTACACACGTATCATACCTGCATATTACGAACGAGAAACTTGGTTAATGTTTATATGCACCTTTCGTACGAATAAATAGAAAATATCCGTGTTTACAACAAATAACACATGATTTCACAACACTTCTGAACACCAAATAATTAATTACGTAAAATAATTTTAAATTTACTTTAAATATAAAATTCTGACTGGTAATAAATGTATCAAATGAGTGTTAACATAACATAGTAGTCGTATCATTTATATATTTAACATACTTAAAATAAAACTTAAAATACATCAAACCTATTAATTTAATTGTATTATTTAATTTTGATTTTTGATCCAAGCCTGAACTGGTTAGAGGGGGCACACGCGGAGTTTGCTCATAAACATTTAGCATACGTACCAGCGTTCCATACATCAACACATCCCACGAGGCACATTTTAAAATAGAATATGAAAGGACGAATGATCAGGCACATATGTTACCATAATCATATATCATAACAGAAGACATAATACATAAATAATAATAATACAGGATGCAAGTTACATACCCGAGCTTGAAGAATTATAAAAGAACGAGTGCATGACAACGCTAATAATACCACTAAAGACGGTTAAATAGGAATGTCATATAATATTTATATCTTTTATTTATTTATTATCTTAAAATGCAAGAATGAGAAACACAAAAGTTTCATTTCACTAAAGCCCAAGAGAAAAGGTTTAATGGGTAGAAAACCTTTTTACATATCCAACCTTCATTCAACATTCTCAAACCTGAGGTTCATGAAATGTCAACCCGCCCTCTATCTAAAAGCACTTCGGACGTCATGGCTGAAAATGTCACATTCGCGAGGTTCCCCGTTCGATTTCCTGCCCAGCTATCCTGTCTGATGCTTGTTATGGGCTTCCTCTGTCCCTCCACACAAATGTTGGAATCGACAAGTGCCTCTCGTCTCTCCTCCTAGCCGACACTGAATACCGTCTGTTGAAAATTTTCGTCAAGCAAACTCAGAAACACAATATTAAAAACACGTGTCAATCTAATCAAGATTTCTGTGACCATAAATCGACAGCATTTTACTTGCTTTCGGAATCAAAGTACAGACAGCAGGTCCGAAAATATCGCTGTTTGATATAATAGTAGCAAACGAACTTAATACCTAAACACCATGTGCTTTAAAACGATAACACAATACACCGAAGTCCGCGACAGAGCAGTAATCATTCCGTAGTTTTCTCAGTCCGTCCAGGAAAATTTCGTAACAGTACCTTAACCCAGGCTACAACCTAACCGTCCTAACCTCACTTCCAATTCATCATTAAATCGCCCTAGCAGCATTAAGTGAGCGATGTAATCTGAGCTGATGAGTAAGCCAAAAGTAAACATGTAACGCGGTAGATGAGATGCGAGGTTTCTCACGGGGTTTAAAATGTGGGTTGTGTTCTTTTATTGTGAGTTGTGACGATGTATGTTCTTTTAGGTGGTTGCCCACTTAAACCTTCAGTGTCTACTTATAATCACGGCGTCACAGTTTAGAAGACCACAATATAAATAATAATGCAATACGTTTTCTTTGCTTATTAAAATAGTGGACTTAATAAGGGAAACTGTTCCTTTCTAAGTGCAAGATGTAAGTTGTAATAACTTTGGATTTGAGACTTTCGCGACGAGTACAATCAATAAAATCTTCTCGGGCAATCATCCGAGTTAGCTGGTTACCGTAGTAAACCCACGTTTCGGGAACAAACTCTGGCTGGTCCGGACATGTGCATTGGTCCCGAGCAGGCAGTTACACAGGCGACTTCCGAGGATCCAGTCACATCAGAACCCTGATGATGGGGACAGAGTTTGTTCTCGAAACGTCGGTTTACTACGGTAACCAGCTAACGCGGCTGATTGCCTGAGAAGATTTTATTGATTGTAATACCTTTGTGATCATGAACGTTTTACAGTTTCTGCAGCCTCAGTTCTAGCAAGACCATATTGTAACTAATAGTGTGGTTATGTAACTAGCATTAGATATGATTCTGACTTACATAAATCCACCTCTCAGCCTTAAAATTCGTCTCCCGAATACTCATGTTGGTCACCAAACAGTTCTGTTCGCATTCTGCTTTCAGTATTCACTTAAATCACTCACTTATATGCACCAAGAAGAGGAAATACGAATTCATTACTTGTATTACTCCACAATAAACTGTCCGCTCTTGACTGAGGTGGATCTGGTGACAGTCGTGCAAACTACCGCCAGTTACTTCTTCTTCTTCTTCCTTGTAAAATATAGGCCCACATACCCGTTCCGAAGTAAACAAACTGTTCAAATCATCTACTTCGTGATCTTTCTAAATCCCGCTCTCCTCTTTTTCTGCGATCGAAAACTCTTTCCGACAATCTCGCCTCTAAAAGTTACTCCTCCCAACCGTGTAAACTCCGATCCTATGTTTATCCCTAGTTATAAAGATCCAATATTCGCTTGTTTTGAGACCACATTATGAAACTCGACTGGCTGCACTACACTTTCGATTCATGGAACTGAACTTCGTATCGTTATTTTAAATTTTGTAACATATTTTCGATCAGCACTGTAATCTTAAAAAGAAAATGCTACAGCGATCTAACTTGTCTTGCCATACTGAAAGAAATGGGAATAAATAACGAAGGGTTTCTGCGCCGTATAGCGTGGTAGACGTTTACCGACGTTTCAAAGATGCTTGCTGCCTCCATCATCGCAATAACCCAGAAGACATCCATCTTCATACTCATCACTGTGAGAACCTCAAATATCACAGCATAAATCATAACACGAGGCAATTTTTGTTGTTAATTCACACAGAACAGTTATATAATTAATTGTACGACAATCAACAGCAGCGTAATTACTTATTCTGGCTCTTGCATATTGCCATTTTTGCAAGTTTCCGAATCTGATACTTTAAGCACGAGGTGGGGCACTCACCCTTCTTCCTCCCAGCCTCAGGCTATGAGGCCTACCTTTGACAAACGTAGTGCCAGGGCGGGGCCCCACTCTGCATTGTTTTAGAACCAGGGCGCCACCCTGGCTTGACTGCACCCCTACTTCCGATATGAAACGTGTATGGGGGTGGGGGGGAGGTTTGTGATGGTCTGAAGTACGTGATTACATTGCTTTTTACTCAGACCATAGCCTAGAGTTAAGCATTAAATGTTCAACCTGTAGCCTCTGGAGAATCCTCACGAATCGATCAGGAAGAAACGAGTATATACATAACACAGGGCAGCAATATAATTAACTGTATATTTTCTGCGAAAGAATACTTCACTGACAAAATATACCTACCTATGTACGTCTTTGACTCCACTGCTGTCAACTATGACCTAAACCAATAGCTTTATATAAGTGCAAAGTTTTATCTGTATCTGGATCAGGAAAACTCTGCACTTTCCCATGAAAATTGATTCACTATCAACATCACAAGGCACGTTAATCACCTAATAATAATAATAATAATAATAATAATCCGTGGCATAACAGCTCCAGAGAGCCACAGCCGACTTCACATGCCTAAGCAGAGGTGAACGATCATCCAACGAGATACAGAGTGACGTGTGGTCAACACGACGAACCCCCAGCCATTGCTAGTTTCCAAGACCAGATTACACTACTCATTGTAGCTCCCCAATTTCCTCACGATTCTGGGTTGGCACCGGTCCCACACACTGGTCGAAAGCTCATGAGAAATTTCTTCTCCCCCGAGACTCGAACCAGCGCACATTCGCCGGTCCGAAACATGATGCCTCAGACCGAGCGGCATGTTAATCACCTGCTAACATAATATACTGTCATCTATACTTAAGAACAAAACTTATCATAATTTCTCCATTTTATTTCAGTACACTTTACTTTAATCAGTCAGGAACATTTCCTTTCACACTTCAACGTTCTACTTGATTAAAACAGCTGACAGCAAATGTATAATTTACTAAAAAATTTACAAAAAAATTCTTCAGCTTCTGTATAATAAAACAAACATTTGTTTTTCTTTCCTGACTCCAAACTACATTTAGATACTGTAATTAAGGGAACATAAACAAAAATGTAACCTCTTTCAGCTCAATGCAATGTCAAGATGGACGTCACATGAAGATTTCAGCGGACCCTAAGACTGAGTCAGCCTTAGATTCAGTTCACCAAACAAGTTCTTGTTGAGCCTCTTGCCATCTGACATCAGTTTTCATAAAATCCTTGTAACTTCAAAACAAAGAAATTTTGAGTTGCCCTTATTTTTTTAAAAAAAACAATTAGTATACACTTTAGATATACAAAACATTGTTAGAAAAATAAGTTTAAAGACTTCTAGACATTTCAGGAATTACTGAGAATGTTTTATCAGAAATGCAATGCATTTACAAAACAATTCTAAAAAAAGCTAAATCTAATGGTGGGTACAGCATCCACTATTTTGTTATTTCATTTCAAAGGCAACATAGTCAAAATCAAACATTATGTGGGAAACATACGAACTTCCAAACCAAACTGTTTTTAACTATCTGTTCCTTTGAATCACACTAACCCAGAAACAAACACAGTAATAATAGCCTCATTAAATCACTGTTTTAGTATAAGCTTAATAATCTCACAACATAACCTAGCATGGCATGAGAACACCTAAAAGCACTTAAGATACCGGTATCATTATCTTGAGAACATAAAAAGAGGATAACGTAAAAATAATTATCTTCAGCTTCTGGTCTGCATTCATCCAAAAGTGGAATGAATTAAAAATTCTTGTACCCCACACTTTTCAGAATTCTACAGACAGAACAAAGTTTCAAATTTATAATTTTAAAAGAAAATTACACAAGTCTGATTTCAAGTCAAGAAGTTTACCTGCAAAACCCCTGAGAACACCATTTGGGAATCACTGGTGAAAGGCATTTACACAAAGAACAGAAGATTTCTGGAAGAAAAAATGGATTTAATTTTTTTTAGTGTACTAATTTAAATGGTCTTTATTTAGACCATAACCTATAAATGCATACAACACACAATAATATCCTTCCCACCAAAGTTCCACATATATGACACCACGCCACACACTCCATAACCTGCTACACAAAATACTATGCACAGCACTTACACATTAAAAAAACATAAATAATGTTGATAATTTTCAGTCTCCAAAATAAAAATCCGCAGTAACTGGTTTGTGTCACAAATCAAAGTCATAAAAATTCCACAGTAGTTAACCCTTCAGGCTGGTGCACTGAGCACTACATGACCCTGGATTAGAGACGAGCAATCGTTCAACAGCAGTTGTTCCAGCGAACATTACCTTCGGAAAACCAGTTTTAAGCAGTGACCATGATCTCTGGTATAATTAGGTTACCAGCTGCCTTCATAGTCCTACAAGTATGGGAAAAAAGTGCGATATAAACAGTACTTTTATTCATGGCAAAAACATTTATACTGTTTTGCTGCATATGGGGTGATGAATTAGATAATAAATAGTGCTATTTAATTCATAATTTATGATTTAATGCTCTTCAAACTTCCAGGCCCACACTCATTTTATTGGGCAAAAACATAAATAGCAAATAACACAGAAGCTCTATTAGATACTAGTACGGAAAATAGTCTCGACTTAAAAGGAGAAAAAACTAAATGTTCATGTCTCGTCACCAAGCAATGAGACAAAAGTCACTAGAAGATTCTCTGAAAATGTGAAAAGTTTAATTATCCGGAGAATAGGTTTCGAGACTTTTGCGGCAAGTACAATCACACCGACGTTTCGGGAACCAACTGTGTCCCCATCATCAGGGCTTTGATGTGACTGGATACCTCGAAAGTCGCCCGTGTATATACTGCATTGAACAGTCCTTGAAACTCCAGATGCCTTGCAGAGGAGAACGGAAACATTTTATGGGAGTGCAAGGAATGTGTGTGTGGAACAAAAGATATCAATTCAACAAAGGCCATAACTTTAATTTTTAATGTATTCTGATTGTAGGTTTGCCAGTTTTGCTAGAAGTCCAAAACTTTTTTAGGCTGACATGAGGAAAAGTAGCATCCAATTCTTAAGCCTGAGACATTAATCAATTAGTGAGGATGCTAAATTATATCACTGTACATACACAGATGAATTATATGGAATATCATATCAGGTTTCAAGAAATAATTTTATTAGTTTGGCTTATAAGTCTAGCACACAATATTGTGAAATTTTCTTTTCTTAGAGACACTGTTGCTGGAAGTAATGTCCCAATAACAATCAATGTTCAAGACAAAGTGAAGAGTTTAAAAAGAGTTCTGAAACTTTTATAACCTTGCCTAACAAAGGTTATATTTTGTAAGTAGATAATTTTGTATGTCTCCATATTTGAACTCAGTACCTGATAAACCAGAATCAAATATTACAGGAACATTTACACTGTACGGAAAAACTAAAATAACAGTACAGTGTGCTGTAGCAACATGTGATAAGATTATTGCACTCAAATGGGAGGATAAGAATGGCATGTTCGTATCATCCAACTTCAATAACACGAAACATGCGGTAAAGAAGAAGAGCTCATATCCTAATATGTACGACAGTCTGCAACTACTACCAAGCTACACGAGTTAAATTAAAATTAAACTACGATCAAATTTTTTTACGTCATTCCTAAATGTGACGGTTCACAACGCAGTCATAATTCACCGCACACAAACACAAACACACCACCATTTGTCATAAGACTTAATATAGTAAAGGCCATCAACACTTACAAGCACCAACATTTCTGGAAGTTGGAAAACCAATAAAACGACAAATCAAAAGTATGGTTGAAAGGCCTTTCTCTGAAAAAACTGCCCCCCCCAAAAAAAGGCAAAGTTTCTAAGGTGTTTTTCCACCAAACATGGTACAAGGTCAAAGACTATCCAACGGTACCCTGCCTGTTGTGTGCTAAGGTATGTTGATTTTTTTAGGACATGCCATACCACGAAAAAGTTGGAGTTGATCCAAAGGTCACATTACATTTTAGGTTTAGAAAAACATTTTGGAATTACACTATAAACACACAAAATCTGGTTATGTAAACTTAAATTGTTTATATACTTCAGAATTTAATTCCAACTTTAAGGAAAGGTTTAAGATACTTTTAACACCGACTTGAAGGGTTAACAACAAAGAGTTGTACAAAAATAACAAGTAATACAAAAGGCTGAATAAATGAAAACAAATAAGAATCACAACCCCTCCCCCTTTTCTTTCCCATTTGTGCTGAAATGTCAACTGCAGGAATTTTTTTCTCATTCGGAATGCATTCGACAACATAAATAACACAATAAAAAGCAATTCTTCACAGCAAACAGGACAGAATATAATTTAATCAACTGTACATTTCAAACACTGACTGCAAAGTAAAGGAAGAATAATTCTTATATTTTATAATGGTAGGAAGAAGTCATCACACATGCAGTACAACGTAATTTAAGAAAAACCAATATCCTGTCCTGTAAGCCAAGAAAATTACAGTGGAGTATAACAACACAGTCCAGTATCCTGCTATATTGTCTGGTCCTAAATGCATCAGAATATTCAGTTTTGGAGGACTCTGCCACTGTACACAAATATCCAGACTTCTGGCTAACATGCAAACGGTCCACTCTGATCATCCGAAACATTTACAACTCATCCTTTCGAGGAAGATCATCATCTTCATCCTCCTCCTCAGACTGAAAATAAAAGACAGTATTAAGTGACTTTCACATCACAAAAAATGTTTCTTCTTAATTATGAGTTCGTTTCACCCAATCCCCATCATCGTTACACAACAGGATGCCTTTGCACCAAAGAGTGGTGAGAGAGAATAGGTGAAAGTGAGAGAATTTAAACGTGCATTAAATTAAAAAGACTGCAATGGGCGGGGCATATTCAAAGGATGGATGGCACAAGAACCCCTAAGAAAGTCCTAAATGCTAAGCATGAAGGGACAAGAACGGTGGGAAGACCTAGAGGAAGATGGGAAGATGCTGTGAGACGGCATGCTGCCGGTCTGATCAAAAGTCAAAATTTGGAAATGGCCGCAAATAATAGATCTTCATGGAGGCAGAAAATTGAGGAGGCCAAGGCCTGATATGGGCTGTAGAGCCATTGGATGGATGGAGAGAATTTAAAGACAAATTACCAAATAAAAAACATCACATTGACACATTTTAAGAATAAAAGAAAACAGAGTCCCAGGTGTCACAATTTCAGATCAATGTCAACGGAACATTGATTTAGATTATTTTGCAACAAAAATCTAAACGCTCACATGAAAACAAAGTGTTCAGCGGTTCAACTTTTAAAAAAGGTACACTTTCACTGCTTTAGCCAGCATAGTTGTAACAAGTTTTCATCTTTATAAATGTTCTTAAGTGAAAAAAATTAACATATAATCGGAGGTCCAGTCTGCCCATGTCACATGCCTGCAAACTATTCTTTGAATTTAAATTTGGTATACGTATTAGCAGAACATCAATAAATTTATACAGCTGTTGAAATTTTCACCGTGAGACCAGATTTCAATATTGTCACTGCCACATCCAACGGGATAAAAAAAAATCATATACACATCAAACAAATGTTCTGTCTCATACTCATTCCATCCTGTCAAGCTACATCACACACCAGCCAGGAGGATAGAAGTATGAATATTTCTATCCCAACTTTGTTAGGAAAAAACCAGCCACGTACTAGCTAATTTTCAACGAGAAGTTGGGAAACTATAATTCGGTTAGAAGTTCCATACCTCATCTGGAACTGCCTCCCCATATTCTCCACCAGATTCCAAGAACTTAGAGAGCCCTTCAAATGTCCTTTCTCCATTATATTCAATAACCTGTCGAGATAGAAAGTAATTAGTAAAAGTAACAAACCTGATGACTTTCCAAGTAACATACATTCACTGACAATATAGTATAGTGCCATAATGAGATTCTAAGAATAAAGATAACTGAGAATTCCTTATTAAATCAATATACTGTGGATTTCAGACTAAAACTCACAAACCATTCATTAACTTGATAGTAAAATACAGAGTAAATAATTATATTTATTCTCAGGAACCATAAGTTTACCCAAGTATACTAGCACACATACAATTCAAACATGGTTAAATTTTTTAAAACCATTCAGCGAGGTTTAAGGAAAACAATCTATAGAGGACAATGTTCCTCACCTTATTATCACCCTTTGCATACAGTTTTATGGTTGGATAGGTCATAATCTTGGTGTGCTCCAGTTCATTTGCTGTAGCATCCATCTTTGCTACTACAATAGTGTCACTGTCTTTGAACTTCTCTCCCAGCTGTGAACAATATCCATATCCATTACCATATAATACAAATGAAAAGAAAGACATATTACAAGAAGACAACTTATTTATTTAAGATTTGAGGTTTTCACAGCGGTGAGTATGAAGATTTCTGAAGATTCATCGCCTGACGACGGAGGCAGTATGACCTCTGAAACGTTGGTTAACATCGACCAGACTACACAGCGCAACAACCCAGGAGACAGAAATATTCATACAACATATTTACATAAAAGAAATGTGCAAACATTAATAAAGTTAAGATTTTCAACACTGAGGCCTTTCACCTACTTTAAATGTACCAACTTCTACAAACATTTCACACAACATTCTGAAAGCATTCAGAAACACAATTCATGAAACTAAAATTCCCTTTAACTTGATAATGTTCACTATTAAAATTAAAATCTTGCAGAAAACAATCTATGCTTGTATCTGCTCAGTTCTTCTTAGAGGATAATGTATGTCAAATGTCACAGCACAATCATATTACATTATCATCATTGCAGATTAGAAGCATAAATTACAGACTCTGATTCAGACAGTTCTGCCGATACAGATGCTCTACAATGGGTCGAAGTGAAAAAACACAGGTCTACCGCATGGCTCAAAAAAATTAAGCACAACACACAATAACTTGGGATAATAATGGAGCTGTTTATATGAAGGAAATGTGTTCAAAAGTATTTTGAAAAAAATATGCACATTACTTATGTCCAAGATCACAAAACCGAACAAAACACTTTTTTCCCCACCACAATAAGAACAAAATATGTATGAAATGAAGACGATCAGACCAAGTAGGGCAATTACTTTTTGTGATGCAGTACATCATAAACAACGACAAAAGTGGTATTCTGGCAAGTGAAAAATGCACCTACCCAGTCAGACCAACTTGTACAGAAATTCTCAGCTGAACACAGTAATCGATAAACAAGACAGTCTCCATATTAACCAGATATGGTTCCCTGTGACATTTTCATTCCGAAAGCTTAAAAAATAAAAATTCTTGCTTCATCTTTAGATGAATATTTTTTTAAAAATTGCCTAGCAATGACAATGACATGTCTGCCAACTGAAAATAAAATCCTCTAACCTGATCATATATGGGAGCTAATTGCTTGCAGTGTCCGCACCAAGGTGCATAGAACTCGACCAACACATCCTTATCTTTGTTAAATGCCACTTCATCAAAGTTGCTGGAGACCAAAACCTTCACTGGTGTTTTATCCCAGTCATCTGGCAGAACTTGTGACAGCATGTGTTGCTGCAAAGAGAAATGATTCCATCACTAACCAAGGAACTTCTAATATCATCCCTGTATTCCCTACCTCACCAGTCTAATAGAACATTCAGTGAAATAACCAAACTTCATTTCTCCCATTACTGAATAAATAACATATTATCTTTTTTACTAATTACTACAACATAATTTCTTCACAATGTACACATACCAACTAAACCTGCTCAGTTCTTCTTAGAGGATAAAACACATATTTTCATTAAGCATCAATATAGCATTTCATCATGGCAGGTTATACACGCATTTCTGTCAGTATTAGCAACTATTATGTACAAACAATGCCTATATAATCATCATTCCTATGCATACCACAAGCTACATTCTACCTAGGTTAAATTTATGTACAGTTCAGTCATTATTAAATTTTACTTAAAAAATTAATTACCTCCACAGTGTGGATTTCAGTATCAGAGAACTCGATTCTTGTATGGTGAAAATAATCACGAATGCTTTACAATCTTAATTAGAGCAGACCATTGTAATACCAAACATGTAGCGAGAGAATTTCAGCGCTGTTATAAGTTAAAATATTATCTAATTTTCGTCTTGGGGGACACGATTTCACCAGTGGTATGACCAACCCTACAGTATAACAAGGGTCTATCATACATTCTCAAAATAATTTTCACTGCAATTAGTCCTATTTAACACAAACTAAAATTGTTCCCATAACTCACTTTAAGTTTCCCATCAACGTAATCTTGCACAAATGAATTTATATTATCTTTAGAAAGATCAGGCTTTTCAGGCTTATATTTAGCCATGTCCTCCTCCAAGCGAATCAGCCTCATTGCAGGAACCTCATCCTTCCTCATTCCAAAGAATTCAAGGATTCGTTGATGATCCTCTTCATCAGAATTGATGGATACAAACAAAACCTGAAAAATATACATCAATGTATGACACTACTATGTAGCGTATTTACTTCTCCATGTTCAGAGTATTCAGTTATTTTTTTGAAATTCCAGCCATCAACCAAGTCCCCTGTTTTGCAAAGGACATAAAATTCAAGCACATGAGCTTACATCTTTCCACATATGCAAGCAAATTCAGACCAACTAGTTGTATAACAATTTTCACACAGGTACCACGGGTTGCAATAACCCATAATTAAGATAATATATAGCACACATGGAATAAATAATACTAGAAAACACCACCATTGTAATAACAGTAATTAAACAAAACACAAAAATAAATAAAATTAACAATTATTTCTTCTATTACGAACTTCGGGTTGCCCTCGGTAGTCTAGCGGTACCGTGCTTGCCACTGGACCCAATGTTTGCAGGTTCAAACCTGGCCAAGGTCAATGGATTTTTAAGGGTAATAAAAATCCGTAGCACGGTTTCTTTCAGAGGGGAAGCAAAGCTAGTGGTCCAATGTTGTAGACTTACAGCATGCAAAATAACTTTATGAGCATGAATGAGATGTTTCATAAGGAAAATTCAGTGGCCGCTTCTCACCCATGTCTCTTCTGATTCGCTAATAGAGGGCTCTGGCAGACAAATCAGGAAAGAGTACAAACTGTTCAGAAGCAGCAGCCTTGTCACCTGCTACTCTACGGAACTAAAACGACTAATAAGACTGCCCTTGATAGATGATGATGATTATTAACTTCAATGCTGTGTACTGTCTTCCTTACTGTAAGTGCAGTTACCTGAGGAGAAACACTCACATAAAAGTCCTACAAGTAGTGCCTGAAAAATGATGACTGGCTAGTATTGTATAATTGGAATTTCTATGTGTTTATTAATATTTTATGGTATGTCTGTCTGAACAGATGTTTATAAATTGGGAAGCTCTTGTTTCTTGTTTCAGTACTATTCCATCCTGACAAGTTACCTTATACGCAAGCCAGGAGGATAAGTACGACTTTATTTTCCCACTGACTATTTGAACATCAACTAAAGAATTCAAGTTGATACTATTTGTCTTGGGATAAATAATAATTTCTCACATACAAAGTAAAGTCACCTATAATAAGAAACCAAAACTAAAGAGCAATGTATGGTTACTAGTACGATTTACGGTTTTCATGGCTACGAGTCCAAAGACTGGGTTGCAGCACCATGAAGTCCTCAGAGGATCTCCGAAATGTCAGTAAACTCCTACCAGACTACAAGCGCTACAACCCAGAAGACAGCCATCTTCACAGTGTAAAAAGTTCCCTTTGTTCTGATATTGCTCTTTCAGTCCAAATTGTCCTGCAGACATTCAGATCATCATACTTCATTTAAGCCAGTGGTATTCAACCTGGGGTAAGCGAAGACATCTTAGGGGGTATGTAACATTAAAAAAATATATTATTTTATGATAAACACTGAATAATCAGTAATGCAATTTATTTTAGATGTAGATTATATACTATGTATAACTTGAATTATACACCAACAACTTTGGGGGCACAGAATCGAAGAGAAATTATATCTGGGGGTACGCGAACAAAAAAGGTTGAATACCACTGATCTAAGCCACTTCTTACCCTGCATCTCTTGTGTAAGTCAGACTCAATATCTAGTATTCCAATGGATCTTACACTGGAACCAACCCACCTCTAATTTTACATCAACTTTCTAAAAGTTACACTATTATCAGCAAAACATTTCAAAATATTAAAATCCCCACAGTTGACCACAGTAGTTCAAATTGTTAAATCCTGTGACCACTTCTATAAACATTTTAAAGTAACTACCTCAGCACTTCCAGTGTTTTAGGACTTGTACTGAGATGCAGATAATTTCATCTTTAAGTACCTAGAAAGGCATGTTGAATGATGTATGACAATCTTTACACTTTATCACCACAAAGCCAGTCACAATAGCATAACACACAAATAACCAAGAAAATACATAAATAAATACCTGTCCCCTGAAGCCCTTAGCTACTTCACGGGCATCATCTAAGTATTTATCTATGTGGCCTTCCTGTTGGGACAGGAACATGAGTAGATGACTTTTGACCTCACCACCAAAGATTTTCTGAGCTGTTTCATGATTGAAGTCAATAACGAGTGGAAGAGACTGTGATGTCACAAAATTCTTAATATTCTTTTCAGTAATTTCACCCTCCAAGTCAGCACGGCCTTCATCAAACTGAAATAGAAGAGTA